TTTATTTGTATAGCACATTAAAAGGTACTCAAAGACGCTTTACATCAGGGGTGTCAAACTCAATCACAGAGAGGGACAAAACTAAAAACTGGGACTACGTTGAGGGCCAAACAGGGTCAACATTTAATAAACAGGACAGAAGGAATATTGGACAAAGTGCAAAAGAATACATGTTTATAGGCTACATTCTTTTATGGAGATAAAGACATCAAGAATCGTCTTATTAAGGCAAGGAACACTTTCAACAGTACTGAATAACATATGGAGGTCACAGACCAAACTTAAATTGAGCTGTGTTTTATCCACCCTATTGTTCTATTATAATAATATATGATATGAAACCTATTGTACGGTTCTGGATGCTGGAGAATGACACCAGAAGATCTCAACAGACTATCAACATTCCACACCAAGAGTTTAAGACGAATACTTCACATTTCTGTCCAGACACCATTTCAAATGAAGAACTTTATGACAAATACCAACAACAATGCATTTAATTGGAAACCAGAAGGTTGGCCGACCAAGAAACACATGAAGAAGAAGTGATGCAGAGGAGATGCAGAGCCTAAACCACTCATGGGGCACCATCCAGCGACTCGACAGACGGGAGTGGAAGACTTTTGTTGCTGCCCTACATGCCAGGAGGCATAAAGGGCATTGATGATTCTTTCATGCAGATGTACCAGCGCCAGATGTTTGGCATCTTTTCTTGGCTGCCAGTTCATTGATGTCTGGGGTTAAGTTCTGTGCTGTGGAAACCCTCAAGATGGAGTGAAGGTGTGCATCAGTGAGACTCCTGTGTGGGGTTTTGTTCATCTTCACAGAGAACAGCTGCTCACACAGGTATGTGCTTCCAAACATGCAGAGCGTTTGAGCAGCATGGAGGCGGAGTAGAGGCATCGTTTCGGGGTGAAGTTTGGGAACTGTGCAGCGCCCTCATAGTTAAACTTTGCCTTGAGTGCGTCATCACACTGGAGGTCTAACAGCTCCATTTGGATGTGCACAGGTGCTGTGTCCACATCAACTGCAAACGGATTGCTGAGCAGTTCAAATTTCAATTTTTGAGCTGCAAAGTCGGCAAATCGCCGAGTGAACTCGGTGCCAAGTGATCCCCGTTAATCGGCAAAATGCGCAGTCGGGAACAAAGCGGTGGAGACACGGTTTGTCATTGTTTAGCAACACGGAAAGTGACCCAAGTTTCCTTGCTTCATCTGAGGCTACATCCATACTATTCCATTTGCAGTCAGAGTCCAGCTCTGACTGCAGCTCTGCAGCTGGGACTGCTACGCGAGGCTACTGTGAGAGTAACCGCCTGTGGCAACAACGGGCTTGCAGGTCTTGGCATGCTTGCTGTTGCAGTGCCTTCTGGGACGTTTAGTATCAGCCGCGTGCGTCCTATTGACCGGCGGGCCGGTTCTGATAGACATATGATATCTTCTCGCGGGCCAGATGAGTTTGACATGTGCTTTACATGTTAAAAACAGAAACAAAAGAAGTGAATATAATACAAACAAAATAGATGACATAACAGTAAGGAACAGCACAAAAAAACATAATTAACTATAATATATATATGTGTGTAGATATATATACACATATATATATATATATAGATGATGGAGAGACCGGAGAGATGCCAGAAACCATGCAAGGAGAGAGGAATATGATTTTAGAGAAATGAGACGTCCTTTCCTCTGAAGCGTCGCGCCCCACTTTAAATCCACAAAGATCCTAGCTGGTCTTGCTGGGTTTACCTGGTGCCAGCTTGCTCAAACTGGTTAACTGGTGATAGACAGGTAGACCAGCTCAGTGTAGCTGGTTGAGAGCTGAGCAACCAGGTTGGTAAAGATGATGACACCAGCATGGCCATGCTGGTGTAACTGGTCAGATGGTTTCAGACCAGAATTATCTCCTGAAATGAAAGTGTGTGTTTTGTAAAACTGTAAAGTTGACAAATCAAACGTTCCTATGGCAACTGCCTTGCACCCACAGAAAGAATGTTAAAGTCGAGCTAATAAGGGACAAACTGAGATCGTAAGAGCGTCTGATGTGAAAGCAAAGATGTGGCAAAGGTGAAGGTGATCTTGGATTTGAGGATTGTGGAGAGAATGTGCAGGCTGAGGCCAGCACAATGTGATATATGTGAAATCAGTGAGCAGTGTAAATGCAACAAGTGAAAACAGTGAAAACCTCCGTTATGCTGAAGCAGTGAAGAGACAAACGGGAATGGAAGAAACTGGAGGAGGTCAAAGAGGGCAAGCTAAAGTGACTACAAATAAAGATTAGGTGATTTTTTTTATATGTAATCAACTGTGCAGATCAAGTGAAACCCAAAACAGAGACAGTTTTGATATTTGTGAAGGGAGTCGAGATTACTTGGATATGAAGCAGCTATCATGGGAACAAATAAAAAAGCGACTTGTGATTGAGGGTAAAATGTGTGTGTGTGTGGGGTGTGTATGTGTGTGCGTGTGTGTGTGTGTGTGGATGAAGGACTGAATGATTATTCCTTGAAGGGATGCCATAGATGTGGGGAACCAGGCCACATCGCACTCAGTTGATCTAGTAAATGCTCATTCCCACACACTCACACACGATCAGCAAGCAGGACCAGCTTTACCTCCACCAATGTTCAGATTAGTGGATGACTTTTGCGCGGGGGCTCTGGTGTGGGTCTACAGTCTTGTGACTAAGAAAGGTCTTTTGCCAAAACTGATCAGGTACTAGGTCTGACCATGCGCCGGCTTTGACAAACTGTTGGATGGATGTGTCAGATGTGGCCGGTCAAATTCTGTCGGATCGTCTCTGGCTCCCGTTGGGAAGACTTCGTCACGGTGGAGCTAAGCCTACTCCAATAGTATCCACTGCTTCTGCAGAGCGGTCCTCAAGTATATGGGTTGATGGGGGCAGCTAACCAGGTGGGCAATGTGGAGGCCGAGAGGGTAGGAGTAATGGAAAGCTTTCCAGCATGTACCGGGGCAACAAGTAAGTTGTATTAGCATTGTTGACTCCAAAAATACCTGAGTCGTGGAACGCTAATGGAAGAGTCTGTCTTTAAAGCACAAAAAAAGAGGGAAGAGCCTGTCTCCTTCTATATGTAAAGGGCTACAGCTAATACAGTGAAAGTTATTCAGTTTTTTCCCCTGGAGCCTTCCAGCATCCGAGGACATTCAGGGCTTAGTCTCTGTAGGGTGTGCGGGAAGATTCTCCCTGGGGACATTTTTTGATAAACAAGCTATTTTGATGCTTTTTTGATGCACTCTGGCACGTTCTTTACATTCACAGTATAAGTGCAATCGAGTATTTCCATATCGTGCTAGTTTACATCTCTACTCCACATCTCAGAGGGAAATATTGTACTTGTTACTGCATTACCTTTATAGATAGCTTTAGTTTCTTTACAAATTCAGATTAATAATACTACATTTAATCAACTACTGTAATAAATGATGATGTATTATCATTACTTCTTATATACAGTCTATGGTTGTTATAGGTTAAACTACCCAGCAGTATATTATCAGCACTGAACCAACAGGCAAAGTGTTGTGGATAAAACTCCTATACCCGCTTTGCGTGAGTCTCTTCATGCTGAAATACATAATACCAAAAGCCAGGTTATCTTTTAAGTAGTTATTCTCTGCAGAGAGAAGGTTCAATCATCACAACAGAATGCGTTCAGTCTCAGTGAGGAAGAACCAAGAAAAAAGTGAACAAGCTTTCTCTATACAGAATGAGCAACGGTGGGGGCCGATGGCCAGTGTTACACACATTTCAGCCTCAGACTTTTGGTCTCAGACTGATAGGAACAACATTCAAAAACAAACGGTCAGCAACCAAAGCAATCGGCCCAAAGGCCTTGGTGCTGGAACATCCTCATACAACACAGTTAGTTATCTTTGTGAACAGAGAGGGAGAACTCTTCTTCTGCACAACAGAGACACGGTGAAGTTCAACAAAGTTCAGAGCAAAATTACTTACGCATGAATACAATATAATGAGTAGAAATATACAAGTAGAGATATATATTACTTAAAAAAATACCATGACAAAGGGACTTAAAAGCAGACTCTAGCAAGGTCATAAATGAGTGAAAACACTTTACTCAAACCAGGTTCAGTGACATGTGATCAGTCAGGATAGAGGGAAGGACTAAATGAATGCACCAATAATTATTATCCAATGATATAATATATTTTATTAGGCATAATGTGTACTTTCATTTACTTTTAGTTCTTTAAGTATATCTGGATGACAATACTTTAACTTTTTACACTGTAGTATTAATACTTTTACTATCTAAGTACTTCTTACACACTGTATGTTGACATTATTGAAATATCAAAAGGGGTTTCTTTCACTACATTACAGTCATTTAGCAGACGCTTTTATCCAAAGCGACTTACAATTCAGATTCTATCACAATTCTACACTGTAGGCACACACACACACACACACACACACACACACACACGTCTCACATTCATGTAATGTAATGTGTGCACTGTTTACCTCTCAATCATCTGCTGCTGTGTCACCATGGCAGTTGCTTGGTCTACTTATTAGGAATTTGTTTGTTACAGCTCATCAAAGATGATGAGAAAAAAATCATTTTTCTAATGCAAGGTTATTTGTGATATAATTTCTCCAAAAAGCCACAGTAAGAGAAGAAGAAGAAGAAGAAGAAGAAGAAGAAGAAGAAGAAGAAGAAGAAGAAGAAGAAGAAGGGAAATATTGCTTGCATCAAACACACTGATTAATAATAGTTAAATGTGTAAATGTATATATTACAGGTATAAGAACAACACATAAGATTGGGAGCGTGGGAAGTCGGATGTGACAGGAGACAGTGAACGCGTCGTGAGACTGGTCGGACTGGCCAGGTGAGTCTCACCGCAGCGGGGATCTGGGATCAGTTTTCTTTCCTGCTAAGTAACCTCAGTGAACCCGAGTTCATAGTGAGGTCTGACCTGAGATCAGTGCGAGAGTGTGGCAGAACAAAGGGAGGGTAACCGACGGGAAGTCTCTACACTTTTCACGGAGAATCATCAGCAGGTGAGTCCGCGTCCAAATCTAGAATTGTGTCATTCTCGCTTATTAATGACAGGAATTTAGATTTAAACGAATAAAACGTCGATCAATGTGTGTTTAATCTGTTGTTTATCTCAATACAAGCTGTTTTTATTTATAGTTGAACATTTCTACCGGTTTGCAGTGGAAGTGTTCCGTCACAGGCAGGGACAACGTTCACTAACGTTAGCGCTTCGGACGTGAATTCAGCTTCTGCTCATGTTTGGACAACAACAGTAAACCAGCACACAGCCGGCGGTGAAGCGCACGAGCTAAAGAAACGCTTCTACACCTTTAAGGCAACACGCTGGTTTGGCTCGTGAGCCTTAATGTGAACGTTCCTAAAGTCTACCTGTGATTAACAGCCTCATTGTGGGCGTGACTCCTCCTTCTCACGTTGGTTCATTTCAACCAATTTATTCATGATTTTAAGTACGCAGTATTGAAATAGTACAATACCAGAGAAGTCTGAAAAAATGCACGAAATTCTATTTATTTTTTCAGACTTCTCTAGTATTGAACTATTTCAACAACTATTTCTTTGAGCTCTTTTGATACTTCCAGGTACTCCTTATTTAAGATGAAGCCGGCTGAAGCGGTGGTTATCCTGCATAGACTCATGCTGTGTTATGTGTGTCAGTCATTTATTTTTACATAAAGCTGTGACTCTGTGCACACAGACAGCTCAGTTGATGTAAGCTTTCACAGATGGAACATACTTTCTCTGATATTGGAGATTATATGTTAATATCTGTTCTGAACAGGCACTGCATTAGTTTGAGATAAAAAGAAACGGTCATGTCCCACGGTCATTGTTGTTCCTGCTCCCGGTAAAAACTGATTTGGTTTGTTTCCAAACTATGTCCGACTGTTTGTGTTTGTTGCTCCAACAGACTTTGTTGTAGGGATGTTGCTTTGTTCCTCGATCTCAGCAATTACATTAGCGAGTAAAATGTTATTATAACCAAAATAAATGATGTCCAAAGCTACGAAAATAAGACCCAAGTTTTAATAACCTTAAATTACCATTTTAAATCCCTGGTCCATGTGTTTTAATCCCGTGTGTTTCTCTCTGTAGCGAGCACAGAGTCCAGGTCCTGATGTCTTCAGGAGGGGTTGGTTCTGTCCCCAGGTTCGACCGGGTGCGAGAGTTCCCACACTATGACCAGGTCCCTGTGGGCCCCTTATGGCAGGACCCGGATTTTCCTATGCCCCCGCATCCCTTGCATGAAATAGCGCCGGCTGTAAGCTTGGACCCCCTTCCTCCTCCCCCTCTACCTGAACAGCCAGCTGTTGGGTCTGAATCCTTGTACCCCCCCAGTGATAATGAGCCAATGGAGGATGACCGTGACGTCATGGACATTAAGCCAGTCCGCCGCTTCATCCCCGCCTCTGTTAAGAACTTCTTCCGTGGCAATAGCGGTAAACGTGGCAGCAATGGTTGGGCTATCCCTCCACCACCTTTACCTGCCCCATTCTCCACTGCCCCCTCATCCAGTAAGAGCGCCAGCTGCCGCACTACGGCAGGAGTCCCCTGCTCACCCCCCAACTCCGCCCCTCCATCTCCGTCCCTTCTAGGGTCCTATCGGGACCCCTACGGCGGCTCTGGGGGCAGCTACACCTCTCAGAAGGAGCGAGACGGGCTGCTGCTGGGTAGTGAAGCCCTCGACTCTGCATCAGCAGTGCCCACCAATCTCTCGGCCCTGACCTACCAGGAGCAGGTGGAGGAGTACCAACAGCGCTACGCCCACATGAAGTCCTGGGCTGGCCTGCTGAGGATCCTGGGCTGTGTGCAGCTGCTATTTGGAGCTGCAGTGTTCGCCTGCGTCTGTGCCTATGTTCATAAGGACAACGAGTGGTTCAATATGTATGGATACTCCCAGCCACAGCTGTTTGGGGGGCTCGGTGGAGGTGCTGGTGGATATGGGGGCGGTTCCTACTCAGGGCCCAAGACACCTTTTGTCCTTGTGGTGGCTGGTCTTGCATGGATAGTGACTGTTATTCTGGTCGTTCTGGGCATGAGCTTGTACTACAGAGCCATCCTTCTAGACTCTTCTTGGTGGCCGCTCACAGAGTGTTCCATCAACCTGGTCTTGGCAATGCTGTATTTAGCAGCAGGGATAGTGTATGTGAGGGACACCACACGAGGGGGGCTATGCAATGTACCGGTCTTCAACAACGGAGTAAATGGGGCATTTTGTCGCACTGAGGCTGGCCAGACAGCAGCCATCGTCTTCCTCTTCATCACCATGGTGCTCTACTTCATTAGTGCAGCAGTGTGTCTGAAGCTGTGGAGGCATGAAGCAGCCAGGATGAGGAAGGAGGGGCTGGCGCTTGAGGTCTGACACACACGCACACATGCATGAATTTCTATTCACATTTTGCTGAAATGTTGTGAACTTAACAAAAGAAAGCGTGAGAGCAGCCTCACTGGGAGGACTCAGTTTGAACATCTAATCACTCCCCTTCTCTTCTTCCCATGAACCTAGATGAAAACTATTGGATCATCAGTCCCTCTGTCTATAGTAAGTATCAAGGATTGCTTTTGTCCAAGCAGACATTGGATTGCACACAGTGTAAATGAAGTGAACACGTGACTGTTTACCTGCTGTAGCTGGGTCCAGGCTCCAGGCTCTCAGAGCAGACTCCTCTCCCCACTATTCAGCCAGACATCATGGACTCTACAAACTACTCTGCAGCTGCTCCTCTGATGGCGCTGGAGCCAGAGATCCTCAGAGGTCACATTCCAGCTGGACACATCCCCAAACCTGTCATTATAGCCGACTATGTGGCGTGAGTAGAACCCTTCTTTGTTACATTTTCCAAACATGCATTCTGTATTCAGACACCCTGGATAGGAAGGCTCAAATTCAACCTGTTATGTATTTTGAATGTACATATTCGACATACTAATGAACTCTGGTAGGAAGGTTGTTGATTAAAGACATTCTAATCATGTGGTGGTAACCCATAGCGTCCTCCCACTTCAAAGGCAAATATGATTCTCAGGCTTCATGTTTGTGGCAGAAATACAACTTTGAGCTGCTGCAGTAATTTGATCTCCACTGATTTCTTTACATGTAGTGTCATCAATATGAAGATGTAAATGTCCAACCATTAGGACCTTGTCCATTGTTATGTGCTTCTCCCACTTCAAAGTCATCAAAGCTTGCTTTAAGGTGCTGATTCTCAGACACCAGCATGACGGGATGCTGGCGGGACAATGCATATAGTCAAAATCAATGTAATTAACACAATGACAAGAACAAACTCACGAGAACCAGTCACATATATTTATATGGCAACAAATCAATCCAGCAACGCTGCAGCGCTAGAGCACGTATTCATCCACACACTGAAGAGCACCATTCAGATATTATTCACATCAGAGGGAACAATATTAACCAGATCATAAAAACAACACCATAGATAAATGAACACAGTAGTAACGCTACTGCAGATAAAACACAAAAGCAGTTCACTTACCAGAGCTGCTGTTCACTAAAAGACAAAGTCCATCCTCCTTTCTTTGATTACAAAGAGTTCAATACCACGGTTGTTCAGAACATCGGTGCGGTTCAGTTCCAGTAAGAAGTCCTTCTGGATTCATGGACGCCAGTGAAGACAGTGGAGCCTCCCCAGTTGTATTTCCTGAATATATTTTTAATGTGTTTGAGGCTGAAAATGTCCGCTCCACAGAGGCAGCAGATATTGGGATTGTCACCGCCCAACATGCCAACACGCTAAAAATGGCAAAATGTGATTGAATAAAAGCTCTACTTAAAACAAGCAGTGCTGGAAGCAGCGCAACTGAGGAAGACAGTAGCTGTGCAATAAGCTAATGGGAAAAGTAATTATAATAGATGTCGTGTATTTATGAAAAATTATTAAATTATAAAATAGCTATAACTTTGTGATTGTGTTTAGGCCAGCAGAGAAGGCCTTGCAGGCCCTAATTATGGCCTCTCTCTATATAGCTGAAACACCTCCTAATAATCTCACTATGACGTCACAGCTACGGTTATTTGTTTCTGTTGGTGTAACAATACACATATTCGTATTAAACCGTCCGGTACGAGGCTTACGAACCGAACAATACGTTTGAATAATACTAGTGCATTTGGAAAATGCAGAAGCTTAAATTGTGAGAAACATAATGACGGGATGCTTCGTAATTAACGGACAATGCATATTGTCCAAATCTATATAACACAATGACAAGAACAAACTCAGAAGAACCAGTCACATATATTCATATGACAACAGAGCAACAAATCAATCCAGCAGACCTGCAGCAACACGCATTCTGCTGCACACTGGAGGGCCATTCAGATGTTAGATGTAAAGAAACAAACCAGTTGACTTAAAGACAAACTCCATCCTCCTTTCTTTGTTGACTAAGAGTTTAATCCGGTTAAATCACAACTCACTAATCAGTTTCTCTTCCTTCAGCCATTGAGTGTTAAAAAAACAAAGCTAGGTAAAATAATAATAATCTACACCAAGCAAAATGCAAAAAATGTCATAATTTCTTCCATATCTTTCAATTTGAACTCTCACTACTCCGACTAAGCCTCTGATGGCTACTTTAAGTTTCGTTTCACGATAGTCACGTGCTCGCCCACTGACCAATCACAGCACACGCTGCACCTCACTGCAGAGCTGCACCTGAACACTGAGCTGCACGTAATGCTGACGTAGCTATAGGCCAGCTAGCAGGCTCTGACACGTCAAAGAATACGCCCAACATGTCAAACTAAAGACCTGATTGGTTGAACACTATGACAATCAACAATATCGTCCTCATTTACTTTAATCTGCACTGGCTGCAGGTGAGACTCTGCAGGCCTCTGCCTCTGTTCTTACCTAGAGACACAGAGGTGAGATCTGATTGGATAAAAGCTCTACTTAAAACAAGCTGCACTGGAAGCAGAGCAACTGAGGAAGACAGTAGCTGTGCAATGAGAAAATAAGATAATGGGGAAAATATGTTTATAAATTATAATACATGTAGTGTATTTATGAAAAACCCTGGACCTTGTTTTTACACAGGGTCAAGATACTGAACTTGCTGAAGTGTTTATGTGTCAGTGACCACAAATGTATTTTATTTGATATGTGTTTAGAGTCTTAGCCTTGTTGCCATATGAGACAAATCTGTTTTATAAGTGAGGCTGCGGCTGTCGTTTCTCTTTGGTGTTTGACAGCAATATTGTTCTAGATTATGAAATGTGGACGCTTTAGTCCAATCATGTAACAAGCACTGCTCCTCGGTGGTGGATAAAGTGGCTCCTTTTATTCTATATTGTTATTATAGTCATGAAAAACCATGTGCAGAGCCAAACCAATAATGAGTCCTCCCTACTACCAAGTATTGTGTTTTATCTACAGCCTGACATGTTCTGTGCCACAGAGTTTGGGGCTAAGAGACACAGTCAGGCTAGGACAGTCAGAAAGTGTGGGGAGATGGACACATTGTTGGTTTGAGTCATTTCATGGGATCTGTTGACGGTAATAAAATATTTATATTTGAACTCTAATCTTTTTTCAATGGATATTATCATCCTTACAAACTGCTGCCCGGTGTCTGAGAGACATTCAGCTGTAGTTTGAATGTCGCCAGCAGCCAAGACAATATGGTTTCTCCTGTCCTGTTCCCACAGGAAGTACCCCAGCATCCGCTCAGACGAGCAGAGGGACCAGTACAAGGCTGTGTTCAATGACCAGTACGCCGAGTACAAGGAGCTGCATGTTGAGGTCCAGGCCATGGCCAAGAGGTTTGAAGGGATGGACGAGATGATGCAGAACCTTCCCTCCCGGCCTTCCAGCCAAATGGTACGACCCTCACTCCTGTCTACACACACACACACACACACATACACACACACACACACACACACACACACACACACACACACACACACGGGAGCACACTTGAATGCACCCTGTATATATAACATTCTAATTGTGTTTCAGGAAAAGGAGCGGATCAGTGGCATTTTAATGGAATACCAAAGGAAGAAAGCTGTAAGTATACATCATGAAATGTAGTTGATGATTCGTCACTGAGATAATTCTGTTTCCCCGCTGGTTTTCATCTTGGAGTTATTAATAATATAATTCCACTTATATTAAAGGGGTATTCCAGAGAGTTTGTATTGGACCTCCATGAATTCGGGGGAATTGCATGAGACAGAAATGGAAAAAGGAAGGATCTCAACAGAGGCCAAGATATTCAGGCTTTTGTTCTTTCAGCTCATAAGCATTATGAGATGTGTAGTCTCCAAAATAACACTAATCATATATTCAGAGTCCTTTTCTCAAATTTCATAAAGCTCCTCCAGAGCCGCAAAGAAACTAAACGAGTATCCTCCTTCCATACGTTTTTAAAACATGAGAGAGACCACTCAGGATTCAGCATCTCCTGTTAGTTTCAAACAGAAAGCCTGTGTTACCAGCTGAAGCTGTGGAGCCTGAAAGAAGGCTTTGGGTTTACAGATGCTATCTAGATGAATTGTGGGAATTGTAGGATCCAGAGTTTTGGGTCTTGACAAGGAACAAAAAGTCAGGTTGCTGATTCAATTTGAATATTTCTTGTTCTAATCCGTCTCTTCATTCCTTCAATTGTATTGGTGTAATGCCAAATCAGTGGAATGTCCCTTTTAATCAGTACCAACAACAGACTGCATATAGGAGGTGGACGTAGTCGTTGTTGCATCACCCATTGGTTTGTGGACTTCCGATTTGAAGCCTAGAGTTTGGATTAAGGCCAGCGCCATCTTTACTTTTTACAACCAGTGAACAGAAGTCACCATATTTGGAGTGCAGAGGAGAGAAGGAGCTGTGTCTCTGGTAGAGACCTGTCAATCACCGTGTAGCCCCGCCCCTAAAGCATCCCCTGCTTTATGGTCTGTGTGACTCTAAATGGACCATAATGTACTAAATGAACATCATGCTGTATTGAAGAAGACTTGAAACTAGAGATTGAGACCATAAACTCATGTTTACAATGTTTACTGAGGTAATAAATCAAGAGAGAAGTAGAGTCATTTTCTCATAGACTTCTATACAACCAGAGGAGTCGCCCCCTGGTGGACACTAGAGAGAATGCACGTTTAAGACACTTCTGCATTGGCTTCACTTTTTAGAACACAAGGTTGTTCCTATGTTCTGGTATGGGATGTTGATATGACTTCTAAATGGCTTTCTGTTATAATAAATTCAGCACCATCTCCAAAATGTTCTTTCTTCTGGTTTGCGGAACACTAAGAAGTAAACATGTATTGTACTTGGTTGTATGTGTTATTTTATTTGCCATGCAGTAACCCACCAATTCAATCTCTTGATATTGATTATCACAGACAGTCTGTCCCTGATGGATAGAATCCCATTACTAGGAGAGAAAGCCAAACATTTAAAATGTGTTTCTGTGTTTCTTGCCAGGATCCAACATATTTGGAGAAAAGGGACAGATGTGAGTACCTCAAGAACAAGCTCTCTCATATCAAGCAGAAGATTCATGAGTACAACAAGGCCATGGGCTTAAGCAACATCAGCTAAACACTGCAGTCTCTCATCAACACACCTGGAATCATGTCAAGGAAGTGATGTCGCTCAGGAGATTTTAAACACCTAATGTGATGCTTGTGTTTGCTGTCAGCAACTATGAAGTAAACCAGAAACATTGAAACACAAATTGAAATGATCTTTCCATCAGTGTGGGTAAGACCAAGTACATTGGGTCTTACATGTCTGTTCCTTTAAAGCAGGTGTTAATGATCTCACCACTGGCTGAACAGAGTGACCTGAGGAAGCTGATGTAAATAAGGCTGAGTCACTGTTAATGATCAGAGTCATAGATCTGCAGGAGACAGCGATCAGCACAGGTTAGTTAGTTTAACAGTTTATGGTCAGACAGGATATACTTGTATTTGCTGCATGTGTTGTGCTGTGGAGGTTATGATGCTCACTGTGTGCTGGTGTTGTTCTTTACATGACAGTGAACTGTCTCCCACCATGTTACTGAAATCACTGTTCATTCTAACAGATGGTGTTTGTTTTTAATTAGTTTTGGTCACTGCTGTTGTGAACTCACTTGTACATTGTTTGATTGATTGATATGTGTATGTTATTGTTTTGTATCGTATGTCATACTGCTTTATGACAAAGAAGCAGCTTTTTATAAACTTGTATTTTACATCTTTCCCTAATGTCCTGTTTGAGTAACTTCTGTTACATCTGTTACCGTCTAACATCTGCCCAGACTCAGTCAGCAGCGCTGTGGTGCTAAACGAGAGTTCATGAAGTTAACCCTTTACAGAAACAATAACAACCAAGGTATATCTTCATAATTACATTTTGTCTTATTTATTGTAGATCGTTGTTGATTTATCATTGTTCGAAATATGAGTTTACATAACAAATGTGTAACATAAGTACATGTTCTTAAGTAAGACTATAGTCTGATTGATACCTTTATATGTGTATGATAGACCTGGTTATTATTATGGTCTGTTCTGGTTTATCAAAGAAATGATAACAATATTTTTCTGATATAACAGTGTTTTGAGTCTTTTTTTATCTATTAAAATATATTAATATATTTAGGCAACATATTGTTAAATGAATTGCAATAATTACAACTACAGAGCACAATGGTCAGAATGTCTTTATGCAGTGGATTGTTAATAGTGGTAGTGAATGAATCCCTCAGGAGCAGCAGGGAGGCTGTCCTACCACCAGAGAAGTGCCCCCGCATAAAGACATTCTGACCATTGTGCTCTGTAGTTGTAATTATTGCAATTCATTTAACAATATGTTGCCTAAATATATTAATATATTTTAATAGATAAAAAAAGACTCAAAACACTGTTATATCAGAAAAATATTGTTATCATTTCTTTGATAAACCAGAACAGACCATAATAATAACCAGGTCTATCATACACATATAAAGGTATCAAT